TTTTATTCATATTTCCATCATGTGTCACAAGACGACAAGATACTCTATTTTTCTTTTATTGTCGTGAAGCAACATGAGCAAGCCCTTATATCTCGAAGCAATAACCCAATGTCAAATTGTAATAAGCGCATTGAGAGCTTGTTCGAAGGGATCTAAAAGCCTTCAACCTTGTTGTGTTAGCTAAACAAGGTCGGTGCATTCTGGCTTGTCACACTAGGCTACTCTTTTCCGAAAGCTCCGCAGGACCATCTACTCTAGTTTTCGAAAGGAGGGGTTTATTCTATTACATCATGTTGCAAACTCTGGATGGTTCAAAGATGATCTTCTTTCTCACAAACAGTTCAAATGTTGAATTCCTCAATGGGTAAAAACTAGATCGGATGGTATTATGCCAACATTAGCATCATCTATCCCACCACTACTATAAGAACATACCTAACCACCACGTCAATTCCAATAAATCTAGCCCCTTTTGGAAGAGTAGCATGTGTTCATCTTAATTAGAGAATGACAAAAAAATCTGTCATACCCGATATTTTCGGGGCTTCGCCCCAAACACGGTGGGGATTACCCGCTTAATCAGAAAATCGGGGACGGGCGCGGGTATGGATAACAAGGACCCATCTTGCCTCGTTTAATTTTAATTCTTTTATTAATTTAATACTTTAAATGAAATTTTTTCACAAAATTTCATTAATTCTAATAGAATATGGCAATTAAGATTATTTAAAGAAATATGATAAACAATAAATACCTTAATTTGCTAAATATATTCGAATAATTTAACTTCTAGAAATAATTAAATTAATTAAAAAATTTAATAACTATATTATTGTCTTACTTTAATGAATAGAGGCAATAAAATGAATTATAAAAAATTTAAAAGAAAACTAAAACGGGTACATAATCGGGACAAACGCCCCGCCCCAAACCTACTCCATTGCCATCCCTAATCTTAATTTGTCCATCTGGGTTCAACCCAATGAATCCTTCCTAGCAAATGTTGAGAGGTGAAATAATCAAAAAAATGAAAACATGTAGTCCTATTTGCCTTAGCTAAAAATTAGATTTTCAATAGATTTTAATAAAAGTTGATGAAATGTGTGATTGAGAAGTTGATAAAAATTAAGGATCCCATAAAATGCATTATTGAAAAGGAATTGAGGAAAAATTGGGAGTTACAAAATGGAGTTAGACGTGTACTTAAAAAATTTGATACAGACATTTAGCCCCTGTTTGGGGCACATTTTCAACCCAAAAAATGAGAATTGTGATTGTTGGATAGCAAATTGTAGCCACCTTATATGAAAAAAAGGGTAAAATTTTTTCTACTTTCTTCCTTGAAAATGTGCCCCAAACAGGGGCTTTGCCTTTGTACAGGCTTCATTTTAATTTTAATGTATTTTTCTTTTTTCATTTTAACTACACATTTTTTCAATAGAATAATATTATATGTAAATTCAAACATTTCCTTATCTTTTAACCACTCTTTTTCAAAAAATCACTATTTCAAAATACATTTGCCACATTATCCTCCGTTTGGTAGCAATTTTTCACCCCAAAAAATCAATTGTTTGACCGTTATTTCACTATTTCGACCGTCATTTTTTACCTTTTCATTCATAGATGGAACTCACTTTTTTCTTTAACGATCAAAAAATCAGTTCTCATAATTACTACTGAACATGTCCAATTAGAGACCAAATAGAGGCTTAATTAATTCGTGGAGTGGAAATTCAATGTCCAATCTCATTATGTCACGATTTAATAGAATAAAAACTCAATTAATTAGATTAGTTGACTTTCATTATTTTAGATCTTAAGCAACTGTAATAATGTTAGATCGCACTAGAATTTAGAGGAAATTATATTCATACTCGTGCGGATTTACGTTTGGTAAGTGAGATCAGCTGGCCCTATAGAAATTTTTGACTTTTCTTCTCCATTTTCTCCATATTTTTTTCTTCACTTTTCATTCCAAATTTATCTCGAGCCCTTAATCTCATTCTTCTCCAAATACCTAAGTTTATCATTTTTACTAAATAATTGTCTTCTTTGTACTTAACTCATCTGTATTGATGGCAAGTTTTAGTGAAGTAGCAAGAGCAAAGATAGCAAATTTATGGGTGTAACCTCAATGCACATTTAATGCGTTCATGTGCGCATGGGAAGATCGACGAGTTTGGTGATATTTCTATTGGATTAAATCAGTTTGGACACCCTCCTTCAATCGGTGAATTTGACTCAACAAAAATTTGTACATCACGAGACGTATGAAATATTGGACCGAAACAAAGTCACATCTGTTTTGTAGGAATTAAAATCAAATTTTGAGTAGATTTTGATAAAAGTTAATGAGATGTATAATTGAAAAGTTGTGAATCCCATAAAATGTGTGATTTAAATTAGTTGTTGGCCTGACTTAGATTAAAATTTTAATTTTAATTTCTACCAATCATACAAGTTTGATTGTTAAAGAGCAAAGTGAATCCCTTCTGTGAGTGAAAAAATCAAAAATGTTGGTTGAAATAGTGAAATAATGGTAAAAAAATCAATTTTTTAGGGTGAAAAATTGCTACCAAACGGGGCTAAAATTGTAACATACATATAATCACGCAATAATGCAAGGTCGATCAGTAATTTTATATTAAAGATTAGTTTAAGTTCAGCAGCACAGATATGCAGTATTTATCACATTTAAAAGTGGATTTTACACATTTTGTCCTTGAACTTTGCAAAATGTAATAAATCTACTCTCAATCTTTTTTTAGCATAACCCTAGCATAACCCATTCCGAACATTTCAATTATGTAGCAAAATTAGCCATTCCTTCCATTTAACAATAAAACAATAAAAATTAAGAAAAACTATAAACGAAGTCCCATAACATTTTTAAAAAGTACGAATACTTTTTTTAAGGTACTGACGGTGCTGTTGACGTGATTGCATTCATGAAGTTCGTGTATCGCCAACTATGGATGTTGGGTGGATAGATGGTGAGCTTAGAGGTCAAATATGTTATTTAATGGACAAAATGGAGGAGAAGATGAGATTGCAACATAATTGGAAGGTTGTGAATGTATTATATTGAAAAATATTGAGGGTAAATTTTTCACATTTCATAAAATTTGGGGAAGAAGATTAGAAATTTTCCAATGTAAAATATTGTACGAAAGAGTACCTCTCAATGAAATATAAACACTTATTGCGAATACAATTTTCATCAATACGAGAATAAAAAAAACCTTTTGTTGTTTGTCCATAAGTTTTACTTTTTTCTCTTTTGTATAAATTAATATTAGTTGTCGTTATCGTAAATTAGATACTTTTATTATGAGAAATAGTTGTTCACCAAAGACGATAAGCAAATCATTTTAATGATAAATAATTCAACTCTTATGTTGACCAATTCATTATCTTTTGTGTCTTCGATCATAATCTTACACCTAATATGGTTACAATTGATAAAATTATCAAAAAATATTATTTCCATATCCAATTAGTTGTATGAAATAAATTAAATGTTATATACTATGCCCCTTTTTGCCAATAATATATTTTGCAAGAAACCATCCCATCATGTACACTTTAGGCTCACAAGTGACTCGCATTGTAGCTATAAAATATAATTTTCAGCTAAAATGAAAAAGAGACCTGCTTACTCTGTCATGTGGCGAGCTCATGGGGTAAGCCAGGCCCAACTTTCTTGAGACGAGCCAGTTTGAGCTTGGCTCGTCTCATTTATTAATTGGAATAGCGTACAAGAATTTCAACGTCTTTCTCTCTTTCTACCTACTTTTTTGATTTTTCTCCTACATGATATTACATTGATAATTATTTGCCATTACAATGCAACATTATTTCACAAAACCGGTAATTCTACAAAAGTAAAAGGAGAAGTGATGTTACCAAAGAGATCGAGAGGGAGAATGGAGAGAATTTTGAAGATGCTAAACTTCTTACATCTAAGAGAAAAAGAAGGGGCTTTTTCGCATGTTAGTGTTAGCTGGAATTCTACAAAAAATTTGTCTCTAATGTCATTTTATTAAATTCTCCCCAATTACCACTTGACCATCTCTTCAAGTGTGAATCGAATAGTAGTTGAGAGGATAGGCATCGAAGATTCTCAAGTGCTAGCATTACACTTAACGCAAGAGAATTGTCATGCTCGACTTACCATCATTCACATATTACTTGTGTTTAAATGAAACAAGAATGTCAATAACTTCTACATTTGAAGCAATATACAGTACAAAACAAACAAACAATCAATTTCTTCCTGGAAGATACTTCTCCTTGGAGGCTTGTTTTTGCTCGCTTTTGATTTCTTTTCATAACATAAAACTGAAATCTGAACACATAAAGTAGAATTTTGTGCTCTCCATACTTCAACAAAAAATAAATTTTCATAATCAAATGATATACTCATTTATAGCAGTATTCACAATTCGTATCACAATTTCTATAACTACCATGTAATGTTTTAATGCAAAAACACGCTTGAAAAGTGGATTTGGGGTGAATTGTCGGACTTAGAAATGGTAAATCTTGTTACATGAATCAAATTTTCATTACATCAAGGAAAAGCCATCATTTTTCCAACAATGTCTTTGTCATTTGATCCATTAGCGTTTTGTTAGATAAGAACAAATTTGATAAATACTGATAACTATTTGATATAGTATTAGAACAGGAAGATCCATTAGATAATGAATTATTGGTTCTAATCAATCTCTTGACAACTAATCAACAATTCAAAGTGACTTTCTCGTGCATTCTTGATAAATCAGCATTTATGTATAGACGTCGAAGGATTTGTAATTTTGAGTGATATAAGGTAAATTAACTTCGCAATTGGCTATAACTTTCGGATTAATCCTTATGAGCTGGATGTCGGTGTTCGAGTCGATAGTAAAGCTTTCTTTGATGAACTATATATTTTGGACAAATTGGTAGCAATAACTATGTGAACTTGTTAGGTTAGATGCCAGAAGCAAAGAGAGCAAGACAATCTGCAGTTAATGTTAATTCATATAAGAATAATGCACCCTAAATGTTTGTTGATAAGTGGACCCAGAAACATCACAAGCACTTTTCAAGGTGAAATTTCAGGGATTTCTTCTGCTTGAATTTCATATTACCAGAGCATGACTTCAACAGTTTCAATTTGCACCCCAATTTTCCATTCATCAGCCACCAATGCCTCTGATATAAACCCTAGACTCTGCCTTCTTGTGAAGACTGCAAAAAGCCCATTATCAGCACTGAACTGTAAAGAAATAATCTCCCACTCTCCCACATCTCCTCTTCATGTTTCGGCCCATAAGCAATCCAGATTTTATAAGCAATCCAGATTTTACACCCCCTTTTCACCCAAAGCTGCTTCCTCATCACCAGGTAAACAATTCGTGTAGCAATTCTTGAAAATAGCTTTCATGTCGTCCTTCAGCTTGTTATTTACCAAATCGGATAAACACGATAAAAATGCTAAGTGACGAGTCCAAGTTGAAAATGGGGGATAATCTAATACAACAATGTACTGATTTCTTATAATTTTCATGCTTTTTGTTTCATCAAAATTTTTTCATATCTTTAGAGCTACAAGTACATAAGTGCTCAAGAACCTAAGAAAATTCTTATTAGTGAAATGAATAGGCTACATGTATTTCAAGGAATGGACCTCTAAACCGATCGCCTGATGTGGGACATGCCATAGATTACAAATGGGGACATAAACATCAATAATTTGGTGAATATAAAAGAGAAAAAAAAAGACCTAATTAATTGTTAAGAGTCTGAGCTTATGGCACATATTTTGTGCAATTTGAATGCAAAACAACGGGGGGGAAAAAGCAGCTGGTTGAGGTATTTATTCGTGATGATATTAAGCACTATAGATGGTCGTCTTTAAAAGTTCTTTTTCCCTGTCATTTAATGGGCATTCTTGCTTCGAGCTTCCAAAAATTTTTCTTGTAGGTAAACTGATTTTTTCCAGATAGTGATTTTTAGATATCTAAGTATGATTATTATTTACTAACAAGGAGGAATTGGAGAGATGGATTACATAATTAGAGCAGGTTGGATGAAATGCAGAAGTACTACTAGATTTTTTTGGGATAAGAAGATCTCTATAAGGTTAACACTTCAATTTTGTGTATTGATTCGACTTGTTATGCTCTGAAGTATCGATGGTTAGGCAGTCAATGGAAAAAATTTCATAATATGAACATAGTGAAAATAAGGGATATCTGGCCATGCTAACATAGAATATATAATAAATGAAAAATACACCACCAAGTGGAAATGGCATTGATTAAAGATAAATTAAGGAAAAACTTAGGCAATTGGGACATATTGTACTCCGTTCATAAGAGTGTCACAATCTTGATAGAGCATGTTAAAAGAAAAAGGGGTAGACCAAAACTGATATTGTATGTGCTAGTTGCTAAAGATCTAATTTCTTTTGATCTTCCAGTAGATCTAGTAATGAATCATACAAAATGGCAGAAAAATATTTTTGTAGCTGATCTCTAATATTTTTGGAAAAAGCTTAATTTGTTATTGTTGTTGGCTATTGGTTTTTTTCATTTCTGCTTGTGGTGTAGTGGCAATTCCATCTATCAACTTAAAACTCAGACACACCTTAGTATCTTCTAGTCTTGCACCCTCGGTCCTTGGAGGCTTGGGCATGACAAGCCTATGCATTGAGGATGGCCTAATTGTTGTTTTTTATTTTGAGTTTCTTGAAGATCTCATTTCTGTCTGCTGGCCTATTTGATTTTGGCATACAACACAGCTATTCTCGTGCTAAGTCATAGAAGCTGAACTACAGTATCATGCCAGAGATACTCCTTGCAATTGCTTCTGAAAATAAAAAAATATGTGCAGAATAATGAAAATAATCAGTACAAGTGATTTTTTCCATTATTTCCTAATCATATTCTGTATTAGTGTTTATGACTTGATGGCATTTGATGTTGTCGCTTCTGTTGGAAGTGCAGAGTACACAGAAGAACCTGAGACCAAGGTGAAGTTTCAAAAATCACTGAGCCTTCCAGGTTGCTCCTTGTCTTTGTCATTACTTGGAACTGGTCAGTTTCTGTACTGTCAATTGAGATTTCTTCATCATTCAATCATGTTTTTGAGTATTTTAAGCTTGATATTTGCACCCACTGGCTGATTTCAGGATTTTGATCATATATAGTGCTGGTTCTTATAGGAATTCAGGCTATAACCTTTGCTCCTTGTAATGTAATTAGGATACAGAGAAAAAGTATTTGCAATCATTGGAGTGAAAGTGTATGCTGCAGGATTATATGCAAATGGATCCATCTTTAATAAGTTAGATGCCTGGAAAGGGCTTTCAGCTGCAGATGTGCTACAGGATTCATCATTGTTTGACACAATTTTTTGGGGTAATTTCTGCTAAACATTTATTTTTTAAAAGTTAAATGTACAGTTGCTGGAGAAAGGGACAAAAATTGAAATATAAAGTAACGATTACTGATGTTGATCAGCTCCTGTAGAGAAATCGCTCCATATTATTCTGATAAGAGATGTTGATGGTAAAACATTCTGGGACGCCTTAGATGAAGCTGTCTCCCCAAGAATCAACTCACCCACTCCAGTTGATAAGCATGCTCTTTCCACATTCCGTAGCATCTTCCAGGGACGGGCCCTTAAGAAAGGAACTTCCATATTTTTGACTTGGCTGGACCCGACCAAAATGCTTGTGAGTATGAAATATATCTTCATGTGTTTGTCCATTGCTTTTTCCTTCCCCGTTCGTGGAATAGAAGTTATTCTCTTTTCCATTATCCCCTTCTTGTCTAAGCTAAATTGCTGTCATGTGCACTTACAGGTTTGTGTATCATCTGATGGGTTGCCTTCTTCAGTTGATGCTGCAATTGAATCACCAAATGTTACATCTGCTCTCTTTGATGTATTTCTTGGAGGTAATCCGGTCTCACCTTCATTGAAAGCTTCAGTTGCTAATGGTTTGGCAATGGCTCTTATATGATTAAAGGCCTGAAGGGTTGAAATTTCTGTTTGTTTTTGAGTTTCTAAGGGTATATATATATATATATTTTTTTTTTTTTCAGTATCCATTAGTTGAATTTTGTAATGTTGAGTAGATTGAGTTTTGGTGTGCCTAGAAAAAAAGGGGTATTTATTGGTTTAATCAATACGTATATTCTGCATATTGTGAAGAAGTTCAAATGTAGTTTCACATTCCCGATACAAATCCATCCGCTTTTACCTTCTCTAGCATCTTGAGAACCTCTGCCATGGTAGGTCTTTTGTATGGTTCTGGCTCAAGGCACATTAGTGCTATACTGAATACACCATTAACTTCATCAACGGGGAAATCTTCTAAACTACTGTCTAGTGCATGCTCTTCTTGCTTTTCTTGGACAACTGTCTTCACCTGCAACAAACATATAAAAGAACAGTTCTGAATCAAATTATGAAGAAAATAACAAGTCATCGTTTTAGCAGTTAAGTTATGCTGCTGACTATCAGTTGAATGTATAATGTCATTTCTCTTTTAAACAGTAGATATATTTGACCATCAAAAATAAGTTGATCAACTTCATAAATCTTAGACGAGCACAACTTCCAAACGAGAATTCTAGAAGACACATGTACACATGACAATATTAAATAAGACTTGTGCTCTGACCTAAGTCTTGAAATCTTAGTTTTTGAAATATAATCATAACTTTCTTGAAATTAGAATGCAAAACAATTAATCCGTAAGAGTTACCCAGGTCACAAGCTTAGTTCCCTCCTCAATAAATGCTTCATCTGTTGGCTTTTTCCCTGTTAGTAGCTCAAGTAACACAACCCCAAAGCTATAGACATCCCCTTTTGCTGTCGCTTTCCCCGTATCAAAATACTCTGTAGAAATCATAAAATAATTTGTTAAGTTCATAAACAACATCAAAAGTAGAAGTATCTTATTGTTCTAACGAGTATACCAGGAGCCAGGTATCCAAAAGTTCCAGCAACTAAAGTTGAAACATGAGTTTTATCTGGCAACATTAAAGTAGCTAATCCGAAATCAGATACTTGAGCCTCCAAGTTTTGATCCAGCAATATATTGCTTGACTTAATATCTCTGTGTATTATGTGAGGGATGCAATCATGGTGGAGGTAGGATATCCCTCTTGCAGCTCCAACTGCTATTTTGTATCTTGAAGGCCAATCTAGAACCATCCTGTTTAGAGACTTTCCTATATAACAGAATAGTGTGATCATCAGTTAATAGAAACCTGAAAGTTTATAAAGATTTCCTCTTACAACTGGCCGAAACTTAGGTACTCTTCTTTAGCCATTCGGAAGTTAATTGATGAATTATATAAATTCAAACCTGTTAAAACATGGGAGATTATGTTCCTCTAACTTTAACAGGCGACGAATATAGGTAAAAATTGATGGCGCATAACTAATGAAAAATTTCACTTGTTTCTCCTTTTTAATCATGTTCAGGGTACCAAATATACTGTGAATGCATACCATGGAGTAGCGAGTCGAGACTGCCATTAGGCATTAGCTCATATATGAGAAGATTGTATTGAGGAGCAGTGTAGTATCCATAAAGAGTAACTATATTTCTATGCTTTATGTCCCCCATCGCCTCCAATTCTCTCTCAAAACCGCGATCTTGCTCTTGACTTCCTCTGCTCAGTCTTTTAACAGCAAAAGATATTGACTCATCTACTGTCAGCTTGTAAACTGTCCCGTAGCCTCCTGATCCTATAATATCCTTGTTGCTAAGTTTCATCGTCTTCCTCAAAAACGTATTCGACTCCAAAGATTTTATCTTTTGTGATTTAAACATTACTAGTTTCCCACCTGTATTGTTTAAACATCAAAAGATTCCAACAAATTGTTAGACATAAACAGTAAATGAGACACAAGAAAATGCTTAAATTAGACCCTAAACATCAAAATATGTACCTGTAAAGCTGTTTTGAACAACCATTTGTTTTCTTTTCCATCGGCGATAACATAGGACTGCCATAACAATCTTCGATATAGCAAAAGCTGAAACACATATGGTTATGTAGAAGGGAAGAAACCGAGTATTTCCCATTTAGTTCTGCAGTGAAAATCCAACTATAAACTCGTTTTGCAATGACTATAACACAAAAATTGTAGCAGAAGCATTTGAAAAGTTAGAATTTACAATCATCATTCACAGGGTATTATGAAGCTTGAATTCACCTTATGATACATTAACAAAGAACAGTCTTCCTTGAAACTCCAATATCATGAATGACTTGGATCTTGAAAATTTTAAGTGCAATATGGAGAACTTGGCTGAAGTGGAATGTCTTGAGTTTTGAAGCAAAAGAAGTAGCAGATATTTAAAAGTGTGAATTGGGAAATGTGCAGCTTAGTAGGCTTTGTGTTTTTACATTAAAAATGGAGAATTGAAATCTGAAGTTGGGTTCATATTTATCATTTCGAATGTCGAAGAACATGGCTTGTGTTGTGTCAAAAGTTTAATGGATGATAATTTGACAATGTATTTGTAATAGTGGAAAAGGTGTATGAAATGAAATGCCAGCCTGTGGTTTACACTTTTATTGACATTATTAATTCAGAAGGATATGTACGTCTCTCTCCTGTCTGGTTATATGGGGCTAAAAATTTTAGGACATTGACAATGTTTTTGTATTGTTTGATGTGGTTTTAAATCGGACTATTTATGACATCACATGTCGATGCTGGTGAAAGAATGATTTCGACCCTTCTAAAATGCGAATTTCAGACAAAGAGAACTTGCGAAGAATAAACAAAAATGATACATAAAGAGTCAGCAACTCCTTTTGCGAGTTTTACTGAGGTAACATTCATCTTTTCACGAGCGATGAATTAGCACATAGTACTTTAACATTTTATGGACACTCAAAATAAAAGGTCCCCCAATCTACAATGAGGTGATGTAGATTCTGGCTTTTTTCATGGTCCTTAAAAAGAGGTCACCCGACAAAGATAGCAAGAGTTATTGCTTTATCTTACGGCATCTTCAAGTCTACTTTGCAAATCTCGTTGAATCATATACTCAGGATTGGGTAAATGGCACACTCTATATTCACTATATAGAGAAGATAGTATGTTTTCTACAAAGGATTATATTAAAAGATTGTTCTGTTATGTTCAATGTTGTGTAGATCTAACATGCAAGTCAAGGAGAAGAATCTATTTGTTGTGTCACGCAATAGACTATGATCAATTGTCCAAAAGTACGATTAGTATGAAAAGGCATGTGAAAATTTGGTGTCTCCAAACAGTTTATACCAGCTAGCTTCATTAACTTTATATATAGACGGAAGTTGAGGATTTATATAAATCTTGGGGGATTTTGCCCTTTGAGGAAAGATATGATAGATTGTGACTTTCAAACAACATTTGGGAGTTCCTAAAGAGACCCGTGGTATGGAGCATTAATCATGTGAAAAAAGTCGCCTTCTCACATCATCACATGTAATGGGCGGGGGAATGTAAAAATATGGTCAAAATGGGTTGTTTTATGCCCCAAATAACTTCGAAGAAAGCATGAAAGGGGCGAAGCATAGTGGAGTGGGGACCTTGTAGGGCTTCTTGTTTTATCTTTATTCAGCTGGCTGCTATGTGAGTTGTCTCGTAAGACTGATGCATAACATTTATAAGTAAATAATAATATAATAATTAAAGAAAATTTTGCAATTTTCGTTCCAAATCTTTGCAAAATTGTTACTAATCTGCCCTCTATTTTTTAGCATTAGATATCCTCAACCTTTCGAAAATGTAGCAAAACTTGCCCTTTTGCCCATTTTGGCCCTTAAAGTCACGTAAATGATGAATTTGTCCTCTTTAAATAAACGAACACACAAAAAAATGAAGAAGAAGAAGAATGAAAGAAAGCAACTAAATTAAATAATAATAATAATGATAATAATAATGAAAGAAAGCAACTAAATTAAATAAATAATAATAATAAAGGAAAAATTACATCAGGAGTCCTATGTCTTCTTAAAAGTTACAAATAGATCACAATTAAATACAATCAAAAAAATAAATAGAAAAAGAAAGGAAAAAAGGCAGTCTTCCTAATGTATGATATTTTTGAATTATATGTTCGTAATTTAATTAAAAATAATTAAATTCACATATAAGTATAGGATTGATTGATCTCGAGAGATGCTATTGATTGTAATTGAAACACTTATTTTAACTCTACGCAAGAATTGATTATGAACAAGCAATAAAGGATAGAAATATGTTAGCAATGGTGGATTAAGTATTTTAGTGCCTTTTGTCATTTATTTAGTTCAAAATTCAAACCCAAACATTGATTGTATGTATTCATTTAATTGAAATAAAGAACGTACATGATCACTTCTCCTCGTGAATTCGACACTCTACTCATCATTATATTATTTGCTAAAAGTTCGTTCACTTGCAAGATAAAATCAACAATGGTAAACTGAATTTTAATTTTCGAGTGGAGGATTAGACGTAGTTTCATTTACATTTCATTGCAGTTAGCCTCTATTTTTCATTGCAGTTTGCTTAGGGAAGTTGCTAAACCTGGTGAAGAGTTACAGAAGGAAAAGAAGCATATTAATTGAAGACACGTTCCCAAACTCGACCCAATTTTCTTTTTATTGGGTTTCAAAAATTAGAACAGAATTTTGTTCTAATCTAAAAAAGAAAAAAATAGACTCGATAGTTGACTACTATTTTACCGTAATATAAAATAGAAAAGAGTTTAGTTGCTATTTTATTTTAACTAACACGTACTGTCCCAAATCAATCTGACAGTATAGTAGCGTGCATCGATAACCGATGTTAGTTAGGTTCTAGAGCCGACCTAGCATTAAGATTAATTTTAGTTTGCAATGACTATTATAAATTAAATTTTTTTTTTTATGGTAGAGCTTCACTTATCATATGGACTAAACCAAGCTTAGAAGCAACAAATTTTCTCAAACATATGTTTTTGAAATAAATAGTTTACATTCAAGCTACTTGACTAATTGATGAAATATTAAATGGTTCTTATATAGTGAGACTATCATGTATCGAAAATAAAAGCTCAGCCTTCGTATGGTGTAACTAAAAATTAGATTTATAATAAATTTTGAAAAAAAAATTAATAAAAATTATTAATTTAATAAAATGTATAATTAAAAATGAATTTTAATAACTGGGACAAATAATGGTTTAGTAAGTATTCTAAGCCGAGAAACAATTGCTCGAAGACTTTAGTGCTCCATATATTAAAGTTCACGGACTCTTGTTGCAATTTTCCTTAAATTTGAGCCTATCTCTATGTAGACGTGGAACTCCAGATAAGAAGACAAATATTAAAAATTAATTAATTTCCCAAGATTCCATCACTATAAAACAAAATCTCCAAAAATAATCGCCATGACTCATCAATCTCAGCAAGAAAAATCCACAACTAAAGAAGAAGAAAAGGCGAAGCAGAATCTTACTTTAAAAAAAATGGGAGGAATATCAACTCTTTCAGCCCCAAAACACTTGCACAATCATCCGACATTAGCATCCCAAAATAATTCAAGAATCTTAAACCAAACTAATGACAAAATTTCATCAGTCAAGTTCAATCCCGCTTTCAGATCATCAAGAAAAGAGAACCCATTTTCTTGTTTTGCTTTAGATGCTTCGAGGGAGTCTATGCCGCCTCTGGTGGTGGTTGGATCAGCCAATGCAGATATATATGTGGAGATTGACAGATTGCCTAAGGAGGGTGAGACTATATCTGCAAAAACTGGGCAAACATTGGCAGGTGGTAAAGGAGCCAATCAGGCAGTGTGTGGGGGCAAATTGGCGTATCCAACTTACTTTTTGGGGCAAGTGGGGGACGATGCTCATGGGAAGTTGATCACTGAGGCACTTGAGGGTGGTGGAGTGTTTCTTGATTATTTGAGTAGACTGGATGATGTTCCCACTGGGCATGCCGTGGTTATGCTGCAAGCTGGTGGGCAGAATTCTATTATTATTGTTGGGGGAGCTAATATGGCTTGTTGGCCTGAGACTCTGCCTGAGGAGGATCTGGAGGTCGTTAAGAACGCTGGGATTGTTTTGCTTCAGAGGGAGATTCCTGATTCTGTTAACATTCAGGTTGCAAAGGTGAGGCTCATCTCGATTGTATTGAGACTTAGGTCTGTAAGTATTATACCCTAGGTCCAATCGACTTTGGACATAAATACTTTTATATATAGTTAATGTAATTAAATGGCAGATCTATTATTTAATTAATAGACAATTAAATAAATAATAGAGTCCGTAGATTCAAATATTTGTAATTTATTAATCACAAGGAGTTGTGATTGTGAGATACAAATTACATCTGATTGAATCTTAAATCATCCGTGGTCGTAAGTAATAATGAGATACGGATATCGTTATTACGGATAGACCATCACGTGTGGCATTTCTTACTTGTGAAGTAAGTAGCTGATCTCACAAGTTAAAGTGTGGTGACACTTAAATGAACACGTGGA